AAATACAGCAGAAAGTATTCAGCCAAGTACTCCACATGCTCGAACACCTTCTGAAGTTCGAGAAAATAATACTCCACTAGGCACGAACTGAAATCTGACAGCAAATATCGAAAATATGCGAACATTGCACGGTAAATTGCCAAATATTCGTTTACCATCTAAATTTTTATTTGGCAATTCGAAAACTCCAAATACTGTACCTGCAGAATTTTCACCTATTCCCAACCAAGACATTATGGTCGTGATCAAGCAACAAATCTGAAAGATGATCATTTTAGTTTTACCACAGGTTCATTACCGCAAGTTGAATTAATTATTGTCAATCTAATTACTAAATATATAAATATATATTTTTTTTATTTAGAAAATCGAGAATTAAAATGAAAAATTTCTGAATTAAAACAACAAGATGATCGATTGAGCTTCTAAAATAAAGAGGTTATACTTCAGGTAAAAACTATAACAAAGGAGAATAAACGTCTAAAAGACGAAAATCAAACTCTGATAATAATAAATGATGCATTCGGCGAAGAAAATGACGAGCTACGGGCTGAGCTCGAAAGATTTCGTTCTTTTTGATTTCCTAGAAGTTTACAACCAAGCTTTAGCTTAACCGACGAATCCGATGAACTTACAGAATGAAAAAAGAAGAAAAATAAGGATGAAGGGGATTCTGAAAATTCGGAAAGCGTGAGGGTTTGTAATCTCTCAATTATTTTCATTAAATCATATATGTCAAATTTACTCTTAATCTATTCCTTTATTCCTTTTTCATTTTATAACTAGGCTGAAATGAAGACCATACTCAGATCGTTGCCTTTGGAACTTGAACTTAAATGTGACGAAATCTTTACAAGCGAGGCTAATGATAAAATTCGTCGAAAGCTGATACCTGAACTACTCCAGGCGATGAAACCTAATTATAACCCTACATACGAACAAATCAACAATTGGTTAAAGGCTTTACATAAGCATTGAAGAAGCCGATATATATACCAAAAGAAAGGAAGTCTTGATCGAGACAATTGACGGCTTCACAGTAACAATTGGCTTAGCGAGGTAAAGGTGATTTACTTATATTATCGCTTGACGTTTAACACTAACTATAGATTTCGTTAAATTTAGAAAACGATTCATCGCATTAAAGGTGCGAAGTCATTATTTGATAGAGAAGATGAACGAGTGGCTGAATACGATCGAGAGGATATAATGAATATATTACGAGATAAGGAGTATCACTCACCTGAAGTGAGTGAAACTGATGACGAAAACAGTAAACGAAAAGTTAACGTTTATGATCTTTCATGGAGGTCAAAGGAGATTATTATTTTATTTATGCAATGTTTAATAAAGTTTATATTCTTAATACTAATAACTACTTTATATAGTTAAAACATCTTCTCCACAATATAATCGACCCTCACGCATTAAGTATCCAAAACTCAAAACTATCAAGGCCTCGTAATTATGGCGACTCGAACGATAAGTTCAACTTGCCACATCTGATAAATGCGCTAGGTTGGACATTCTCAGATCAAGACGATAATTATGAAACAGATTTTGAACATGGTATTAATGATCAGACACAAATGGATCAAATTGATGATGAAGTAGATGTAACGGACTCTGAAAAAAACATACAACTTTCGAATGACAAATGACGATTATTGATTGATGTCGAAGAGGAATATCAAAGAGGTGAATCATCTGCGCATGGTGAAATTCGCAGAGCCATCTTGCAGGATGAACCTCACCTTTTACAAAGACGAGAAGAAATTGACGAATATGAAGAAGATCTCAAATACGATGGTTATTTAGAATAGTTCTATTTTTTTGATTTTAACCAGTGTTTACATGTATTATTAAATCTTTTGTTTACATCTATTAATATTTTTCTAATAAATAGGACATAAAGAGCTAAATTACTAATAATCACTTTTAGAAAAGGATTTTTTGCAAATCTAATAAAAAATCTATAATCTTCTGCTAAATCACTTAGAAACATTAATGAATTTAATTCATGATTAAAACCTAAAGTAAATTATTAAGAAATTTATATAAGATCTATATATATGTATTTATAAAAATTTTATTTCTTACTAACTAAGCTAATGATATTTAAAGTAATCTTAGAGATATTGAAACTAATATCAAGTTTCAATACTTTTTATTTACTTGATCTTTTAATAAATTTACTAATATAAAGGTTATATGAGAAAAGGTTGTAATCATATTCTAAAAAAGAAAACTTTAGTAATTTGTTTTAATTACATTTATCACAATTTAGCATATATATTTTAATATGATGATGAGTAAAAGTAGGGTTCATCATTTTTTTTTGTCTCTTGTAAACTTCTTTATTTACAAAAGTGATACTATAACTAGTAATATTTGCAGCATCTTACCTTAAATATGTTGATTTATAAAAATCATATCTATTAATAAAAGTAACTTCTTATACTATTGATACATCTGTAACTATAATTATTGGTTAATTAAATAATCTATAATATTTAACAAGATTTTCATATTTATTTACCCATCTAATATGTGGTTTACCTGCCTTAATATATATATATGTATATGTGTGTATATATATCAATTTAGTAATAAATTATGTTAAATTAAAATAAACCTACCTCTTCTATGAAAAATGCTTTAAGATTTTTATAAATAAGATTGTCAGAAAGCAGACCAGAAATTTTTCCCAAAGGAGAAATATAATATGAATAAATATATTTTTTGTAAGTAAATCAACCTATAGCTAATAAAACAAAATAACTAATTAGCAGAATTGAATTAAGCATTTTTTTTTCTTAGAAATACGATAAGAAAATTTTACATGTATTTATATCTAATATTTGCTAATCAGCTTTAATAAATACGTAATATTATTTTGCCATTCGCATTACGTATTAGTAATTTAGATCATCTGAATTAATTCGTAAATTATTAAACTAATATGAAAGATACTTATAAAAAAGTCTGATGCATTATACACTTGATGATCATCATATTAATCATTACACCGGTTGAAATAGTCCATTTCAGCCAGAATTCAGTTGTTCGGTCTTAGGCCGAATTATGGTCTAAAGCTAGGCGAAATTATACCGAAAGTTACATGTGACGAATGATGTAAATCGTCTGCCACTCGTATAACAAACAGCTTACATAAATCGTCACATATTCAAACAAAATTCAACTATTAAAAAAATAAAGGTTCGACTATTTAAAAGCAAAGTATCGATGAAATTTCGGTTATTAAAAAAATAAAGGTTCGA